GCCACATGTTATTGATTTACTGTTTGATTTTAAGTGTTGCTCAGGACTATTTGTGCTGTTCAGGTGATTACATTTCATGTTGGCTAATTCAAATACCTGCTGTGCATATTTAACCCTGTGTCACGGTTTGGTAACCCTATCTGTTTACTTCTCTGAATGGTGACTTGTTTTGTTTTTCTCATACTGACTCATTTATACCTTTTTTTCCCGATGTTGCCTTTCTGAAGTGTGAGTATAATGTATTTTTTAGTCCTTATAGAAAGTATTTGTTGGACTTGATTTCCTGTCGGCAAACTCTTCACTGTCATCTCATAAATAATTGCTGTGTGTTTATAATCACAGCTTTTCCTGTTTGGAGCAGAGAGAGAGACACTTACTGGCTGATGTGGTGAGGGGAGAATGTGTAGTGGTGTCCTAACAGCTGCCTGGAGGGTACGAAATGATAAGATCCGAACCAGATGTAGACCAACATCTTTCATCATCAGTAATTAGTGGATGACTTCAGTCTGCAGCCTCTTTTTTTTTTTTTTTTGAGTGTGACCAATTTCTAAGAGATGATTTAAAGGCAGCTCTGTTTTTAGTTATTTTTGAGACATAATATCCGTCAATCAGTCTTTTCACCAATATTTAGGTCAAGAAGATATAAATTCAGCGTACTCCACATTTCACCAATATGCGAAGCTACTCTGTGTCACATCAATGCTTAAAAAATCCCTAGCAGCTGGAAAAAAAAAGACTTGGGAAACCTTATCTTTAGGAGTCAGATTATGGGACAGAAAACTGTGTTTATCAGCAGCTGGTCCACACAACAAGAGTCCTGCAGTGTTGGAGTGTTGAGAAACCCTCACTGTTTACTGCAACCACCCTCAGAGTTATCAGAGTCCATGAGATAAAAAATGGACAGAGAAGCTACATCTGAAATCCTTTTTTTCTTTATCAAAGGCCACACTGTGACTGAGTGGTTAGTGTATGTGCCTTACAGGGTCTCCACTGGTTAATGATGCTCTTTTTGATGTTTGCACATTCGGCTGATGTGTGGGAGGGTTTTTTATTTACTAAGAACTTTGGTCCAATTGGCCAAATACATGCAGTGATCAGTGAATGAGCCTCTGTAGCTGGACTTATCTTGGGTCTGAATGTGAGTGTGAATGATGTGATTTTGTGTGTCCCACTCTCGGCTGATGACTCTGAAAATATCCTTCACTAATATCATGAGGGGAATTTAAACTACAGCAAGAAGTCTTAATCTGCAAACAGTAAATTCCAGGTTTAGTTGTGTTGTAGCTGCTGATCTCTGAGGAATAACTGACTCGCCTCATAAAAATGTTGTCTAACTGGCAGCTCGTTTGCAGACTCATTTGATTTCTCTTCATTTGATCATTTTGCTAAGTCTCTCCAACAGCCATCATTGACAGTGTTCTACTGGGTGTCTGTGCCTTTACACACTCATCTTGATTAGTCTAATGTGGTGCATGTCATGAGAGCAGCACTTCCAGCATGTGTCTGATGATCAATAATCACAAAGACCAATGTTGTGTGATGCACTGTATTTATTGGCTGTGGTACAAAATGATTGCTGTACGACTTGGCTCCGAAACTCACCATCGTCTCCATGAGCGTTGATCCAGATGGAGATGATGTTAAAGCATGTGGAGAAAAACACACAGTAGAGAGACAGATGATTTATCTGCATGTCATTATGTTTTCAGTTTGACGTCCTACACTTGCCAAACTGTCTCTCGTTATCTCACATAATTGTGCTGAGTTTTCCACAACACTCCCACAACACTGAAGTTCCCCTGTTTAACCCAGCTGGCAGGTTGTTAAAGGTCACAGATCAGCCTGACGGCTGACACCAGGATGGGGAAAAAAAATAAAAGATAGAGGGTGAAAGATAATTTTCTGCATTTTAATTTTTAAAACATGTAGTTTGTACTGATTTATTGGAGAAATAAATGCGACGAGCGGCGAAGAATCACCGTCACCTGCAGAGTGTGGGTTGGTAAACAGCTCACGTTGGCTCATCAACGAGCCACTGAAATGTTTCCAACCATGAATTTGAGAGAATCAAGCTTTTTTTTTTTTTTTTTTTTTTTTGTATTTCATAGCGATTTCCTCTGCAGTTTAAAAAACAACTAAAAAAACCTTTTGACAGCATGGATTTTATCTGCTAAATCACACGCCAGCACTCTTTAAAATTCACCATCTTCAGGGTGTGGTGTCTGAACAAAAATTATAGTGCTGCAAAAAATGTTTTCAATTTAATTTAATTTACTCTGGTGCTTACTTCCTGATTTTTTTTTCCGAGGCAGCATCCCTGTTTTTGATACCAAAGAACAATTATGCTTAAAAAAAACATATTATTTTCTTCTCCAGTTTCAGGAATAAGACCAAGAAAAATGGATGATACATCCAAAAAGTGAATAAAAGAGAACAAAGAAACTGCTTTTTATCATAGATGAAAAACTCTGACAGGAGTGAAAACATATACCAGTCTCTTTAACTGCTCACATCCTCTGCAGATAGTTTTATTTAATGAACTGATTTTTATTGTTCATGGTGTCAAGTGATTTAATTAAATCAGAACTGAAACACTGAACTCCACTGCAGGATTTTAACTCCAGACAAATAGGAATTTAATTAGCTTTGAATTTTAACAGAACAGAAGTGGATTCCCATGACTCCAGGCAATGTTTATTAAATGTGATGACGATTTAATCAGGTTTTTCAACAAATGCTCACGGAATCATTAATACATGAGCCAACTGCCTGCAAACACCAGGAGATTATTTTACAGCTGTTGGTGATTTGCACATGGCAACAGCAGCCTTCACCAAAACCTGGGAAAATCCCCTTTGACCTTTATGCAGCCTGGATGGACATTAGAGCTCATTCAAAGGTCATGAGTGAGTGCACAGGTTCCCAAAGTAGTTGAGGAGGAGGGTTCCATGTCTCCAACATTTTCTGTAATTGTGCCACAATGCAGAGATCGCACTGATTAGTAGAACTGAATGAGGAATTTAGTTTCACTGAAGTCCCAACCGCCGTTGATGCTGTGTGAGATATCAGATAAGTCTGAAAACTATTGTTTATAGTGTCTTGTCTATGCGACAGTGACAGGTAAAACAATTATACATTCTTCTTCTAGGTGGCAGCAGATGACTTTGCAGGCCATGGGTTTTGAACATCTTTGTTTGTGCCTTTCATGATTCTTGCAAGTATATCAGTGTTGTGTGTAAATTGTGAGTAAATTGAAACTTTTTGTGACGTTTTTGTGTTGGTGGCACACCAAAGGATTTTTTTTATGTGTGCTGTTATTTTTAAAAGGCTCTGGAATAAAGTTCAGTAGAGATTTCAAGCAATAGCTGTGAACGTGTCGATGTGAGTTGGCCTGACATCAGTGGGTCAGTGAATAATGCTGGCTGGGCTAAAGTGAGGCTAACACCTGCCTGAGGACTTGGTTTCCACAGAACAGACAGTCATGACAAACAGTCCAAGGATTACAGGTCTTTCACAGCTAAACACACGGTGGTCTGTGTCAGACTGTGAGTCTTAATGCTGAGTGAAGGCACAGTAAATAAACAGCAATCAACACACGCAGTGACCCTTATCACAAACAGTACTGAAGATACTGGACCACACACACACATAATGCAGGGACACACACACACAGAAAGAGAGAGAGAGAGAGAGAGAGACAGCCTGAGGTGCTGGACTGTTCGACCTCGTCCACCAAACGAACAAACAAACACGTCTCCACCAGAACACATCTGTTTTGGTCTGGAACAACAGCACAACTCACATTTCTAGACCTGCTGGAGTGACAGCACAATGACAGCGACCACACCAGTCACAGCAAGTCAGTGAGGCGTGTCCACAGTCTGGTCCTGTGGCCAATCATGGGACTTGGAAAGCTATCATGTGGACCCAAAGCTTTTGTTTATTTTGGGCGGGACTTATTATTATTATTTTTATAGGCTTTGTTACTTCATGAGAACTGTGTTTTGACTGCTCTTCCAGGGTAGATTTAATCTAATTGTAAGGTACTCTATGCCTGGGTCAACTGTAAACTATCTTGTTGGTTAATTCTGGCTGAATTTAAGAATTTAAAGATAGAGGCTTCAGGAATTTGGAGCTGGGTCTGTAGTTTAGCTGGCTAGTTTACACTGGTGCAGCAGGTGTTTTGTACAAACCCAAACCAGAATCTTTAGAGGTTTGATAATCTCTCATCTATAATCCCACTCTAGTCTAGATGTTGACGTGTCCTTGTGCAAGGTTCACTGAAAGATATGCACTGTACACATGTGGCTATTTGTTAATGACTTATTTTAAAGCAATCATTAGGTGATTATCTCAGGATTCTCTGACTGTTTGTTCTCACAAATTTGCAGAACAGATGCTAAAATGAGAACAGGAATATTAGTCATGATTTACATTAGTCACTGCATCTACTCAGTGAGTCACAGATACAGCTGGAGGCATTTGAGCATCACAACAACTAATTCCGTAGCCTTTCTCTCTTTGATAAGTCTTTGATATTTGATACCTCTCTAACCTCATACTGTGCAGTAAAAAGGGGAGCAGCTGTGTTTTAGGTGTTTCCCTGATTCAGCAGTGAACTGGTATTTATCATGGCGCAGTCCGAGGAATTAAAATCCTGCAAAGTGTGCTGAGTTGTGTACGGCACGGAGACAAATCCTTTGGAATTCGCACCTTCTCTCTGCACATTTTCATCAGGCACTGAACTGGAGCAGTTCAAGTAAACTGGAAAGGTCCTCTTCTTCTCTTTCTATTTATTTTCCAAGTGTCCTTTCACATGCACACACACAAGTGATTGAGCAGTAATTAAATTACTTTTGACCAAAAGCGACCCGCTGAGCATTTGACCAGGGTCAGATTTGCGGGACAGAAACTCTCTGCATGAGAAAAGGAGTTTTTTTGTCTTGTGAAACAACCAAAGGAAACCGAGCCTGGGCCCAGAGGACCATCTGGGAGAAATGAGTCACCACGTGCACATGCAGATGAGTACAAAGTGCACAGTGTCCAGCAACAGTCCAGATCAACAAAACTACACACAGTGATGTCTAGACACAGCTCAGAGGAATACAGTGAATGCGTGTTTATGCAGACTGTTGTCAGCACCTGCAACAACACGTGAGAGTGTTTCCTTCCAAAATTACCGTCAGAACACAAAGGAAGACCCCCAGGAGCCGACAGACAATAATGGAGAAAAATATAAAATGATGCTGTGAAGGATGGAGTGATCATGACGGGTCGAATCATCATGGAGTTTTATTCTTTTGGAGAGAGTCTGAGATCACAGGCTAAAAATATGATAACGTTTTTAACAACTATTTCTCCAAGGGTCATCTCTGGGACAACACAGCAGCTGCAGGACTGACTGTACAAAAAAACAGAAGCCATTTTATGACTACGTTTTACCTACAGAATATTCATCATGTCCTTTGCATTAATTCAGCTTCCACAATACATACGTTTGTTTACATATGCGTCCATTTGCGTATTTCTTGCTTCACCTTATCCAACGGATTTCTTCAGTACTTTGGTCCTCGTTCTGCACCAGGAAGAGCAGTGGAGTCCTAAATACAAGTGCACTTGCAAAAAGTGAAGCCACACCTTTTCACCAAAGACAGAGTCGCCCCGTGACGACACATCATCACATCCATCATTCGTGCTGGCGCCTCACCCTCCTCCCACCTGTCTGTCTGTCACTTGCGCTGCATCAGAGTAGGATGCAGATTTACACCAGGATCTTTAGCTTCTTTTTTCTGAGCGCAGGAAATGATGGAGTCCAGTCTGCTGGAAACTGCGTGGACGAACAAAGTATTGCATTAGAGAGAAGGAAAGAAAACATTGACTGGAAGCAGCTGCGGTGCTGTCCTTTCAACTGTTGAAGGTGAGAAACCTTATAATTATACATTTATTTTCAGGGTGTTGTTATTTATGTGCATACATTTCCGTCATGTATGTAGATAAGTCTGCATTTTAACCAAACTAAACATTTTCACCCGAATAAATCTTGATGTGTTGGATTCATTTATAAAAAATAAACCATACGTTTAAGTTGTAATAATAATGAAAAAAACATTATGATCACAACATTGGTTTTATTGGTATTAAACTAAGATATCGGAAAACTGACTGCATCAGTGGATTCTGATCTTTTGCGTCCTCTGCTGGAAAATTTGTAGAAATAAAAATATCAATAAAACTAAAATTGAAATATTAAAAGGAAGTTTAAATTATTTAGACATAGTTATAATTACATATTTTCAGAGAAGCTAATATGTTACTGTATATGTTACATGTAAAGAAGTTGGTTTGACAAAGTTTTTCTACCTTTTCTACTGCCATTTTAAAAAGACTACTTTAGTAAACTTTAGTTAAATGTCGAAGTTCTGGTGTTATGTGCTATTGGAATGAAAGCTATATTTTATGTTTTCATGAAAAAAAACAGGTCACAAATTAAGAAGTTAAATTCAAAGACTGTATTGTTTACAAGTAGATTAAAGAGGCTTTTTAAAGCTATACCTGAAATATTGTCAGAATGTTCTCCCTTGTCTTAAATAGTTGACTTTTTGCTGAAAATCATTGAAATTCGATTTGGTAGATTTGACTTCTATGAAAATATATGACTGACTCTTTTGTATTTGGACTTTTAATACAAAATAAAGTTAAAAGTCTTAGTGTTAAAGAAGAAGGATTATGAACGTCAGAATTCTCTAACATTTCTCTTGCTCTCTTTCTCTCCTTTTAGAAAAATGGCTCTTGAACGCCTGGCATGTCTGTTGCTGTGCACAGCTGCTCTGAGTCTCTCTGAAAGTTTTGGTAGAGACCCAGATGGTGGGACAGACAGGTGGGACAGACAGAAGATCCCGGTGCTGCTTGACAAACACACACAGTTTTTACCAAGCCCTTCATTCAGAGGGCGGGAGGAGGCAGAGGACACTGGGAAAATGGAGACGCTGTGTGGCATTGAGTGTCAACACGGTCTACCACCTGTGGCCCAGACTGAGCAAGAGAGGATTCTGGGATATGAGACAATGTATGAGAATGGCACACGTACACATACAGATGTCAGTTTGCAATGGCCTAATGAGACAGCTACGGGAAAACCAGAGCACTCACAAAGTCACGCTCGAAGGAAACGTCACGTTTACGGCTCAGACGGACGATTTGTGATCTCTGATTCTCATTTTGTCACCAATTACCCGTTCTCTGCTGCGGTTCGTCTCTCCACAGGTTGTTCTGGAGTCCTGGTGTCCCCCAAACATGTCCTGACTGCAGCGCACTGCATCCATGACGGCAGTGACTACCTAGAGGGCGCCAGGACGCTTAAAGTAGGATTGTTGCAGCTCAAATCAAAACGAAGAAAAGGAGGAAAGAGGAGAGGAGCAAAACACAGGGGTGAAAGGAGAAGAAAGTTGGAGACTGGTGAGAAAAGGGAAGTAACGCAGAGAGAAGAGGAAAATGAGGAGCAGAATGAGATACAGTCAGATTTCAGGAGAAACAGGAGTCAAGTCAAGGGCAGGAGACGCAGAGAAAGGAGGGAGAGTGGAGATGGTGGTGTTGTGGAGGAGCCTAAACGGGAAAGAAACCAGAAATGGCTAAAAGGCAGTAATGAACCAAAGAGGCAGCCGGTTTTTCGCTGGACACAGGTTAAACAAACCCAGATTCCCCAAGGATGGATCCAAACCAAAAGTCCAGTCAACTCTGTCTCCTCTTCCTCTGACTATGACTACGCACTTCTGGACCTAAAACGACCGGTCAAGCAAAAGAGCATGAGGCTCGGAGTAGCTCCATCCACTGCTCCGCCGGCTCTGATCCATTTCTCGGGCTACGATGCTGACAAGAGCATCCTTGACGGACGTGGGGATGAAAAGGTGGTGTATCGGTTCTGCTCAGTGGCTCAAGAGTCTGATGACTTGATGTACCAGGAGTGCGATGCACAGTCCGGAGCGACAGGTGCAGGTGTCTACATCCGTCTGAGACAAGAGGCAGCAGACGAAGGCGGCAAGGGGAAGTGGCAGAGGCGGGTGATCGGGGTGTTCACAGGCAATCAGAGGGTGGAGGTGGAGGGGGGGGAGCTGAGGGACTATAATGTTGCCATGAGGATCACGCCTCCCAAATACGCACAGATTTGTCACTGGATCCATGGAGATGCAAGTCAGTGCAGAGAGGTCTGAACTTTAACAGGGAAATATAAGTTGACAGTTCAGATTTCCAGACTGCAGCCAGTTATTTGAATATATTATTGGCAGAAAAGCCAATTCTACCCCACAACTGGTTGCATTAGAATAAGGCACTATTCCAGTCGTTTTTAATACAGTATTTTTGTAGATAAACATCTTTGTGTACCGTGGTCTGTGATTTAACTGCTCATTAAATTTGCTACTTGGAATATTTGAAAAATATTACCATTAACTACATCTCTGTGACCTATGGACATTTTTAAAAAAATAAAAATAAACACTTCAGAGTCCATTGTACTCTATGACTCATCCATACTGTATATGCAATACAATCATGTGACCCCACCGGATAAGTTCGCTGCAGTCGGTTGTGGTCTTACAAAAAAATGACCACGAGCCAACGATTGTGTAGCTCTTCTTTACCTTACGCTGATAAAAGCAGACCAGAGATAAGTGATGAGCCGTGAAGATGGTTTGTATCAATGTATTTGTCTTTTATTGCATCTCATTTGGACTCACATGCAGGTGGGGCTCAATAGGGAGAGAAGGGGTTGTGTGATGCCATCCATGATACCAAATAATAATAATAATAATAATAATAATAATAATAAATAAATGAATAAACCCACAGTCTTCATACGAATACTCAGCAAACATTATTTACCCACGTTCTTCTTGATATTATTTATTTTAGTTTCAACATCTTGTTAGTGTCACAATGAATTAAGATACAGTCACTTTCAGAAATAAACAGCACAGAAACATCCAGTGTATACTTTTTTTTACAGAACCCCTTCGGTAACAAGACGAGAGCAAATGCACCGACCACTGCTGTGTCACCAAATACCATAAATGAATAGAGGTCACCTCCCCGTTATAAACAGGAATCTTTGCCTCTTTAAGTCAGTTTTCCTAAAGACCAAGAATAGAGCACAAGGCAGAGAGCACGTCAGATTAACAACAGATTGCACACTACAATGCAGCACCACTCCACACCAGCAGAGGGCACACTTATTACCATTCAATACTGAGTCTGACTTCAGATTGAGGTTGAGGTTCAGGGAAGGAGGAACATTTTTAGTCCACTTGCTTTTATTCATCCATAAGATTTAAAATAACTTAAAAAATATATGACTTTTTTGTTCTCCCAAAATAAAATAAATATGTAAAATATGTCATTTAAAATAGCTTAAAATGCATATGTGAATTTTGAACTCACAGGTATTTGCATGTTTTTGTAGAGTTTACAAAAAGATAAAATAAAAACAAAACTGACGTGTCCCACGTGGAATCCCAATTCTGAGCGCAAGTTGCATCCAGGAGTGTTTTAGATAAGAATAATTCTTAAAAAATGTCAACAGTTTGGGGGTTGAATTGCTGAGCAGATACATAAAAGGTGACACGAGGGTAGCTCAGTATTAGATTGGACGACGTGTGTGAAGGAGTGGGACTGGGATGTGGAGTAGGGGGTCATTGGCCAAGTGAAATAAACACTGAACACAGTCCACATTGAACAACACAGTCCTCATCGGGTAGATGCGCAAAGAAACCAACATCCAGGTCAGCTGATATGCAGATATACAGAATGAATCTAAATACACATTTATTTCATTTTTTTGTTCCTTTTTTCAGTGGTATATTAAGTAAAGGTTAACACTGAGTTACACACACACACACACACACCCACACACACATAAACAGAACTGTGTATCCTTTATCTAGGGTTCACATTCACAGTTGTGCTACAACATTAGATAAGAAGGACGGGGTCCGGGGGTAGAAGGGTGGGTTTGCAGCTGGTGGGAGTTTAGAGGGCAAAGGTCATACAGTGGATGTGATGGCTGGTTGGCTGAAGGACTGGGGGATGACTGAGGAGAGAGAGGGAGTGGGGGGAGTGCAGACATCCACGGGGGCTCCAGGTACGATGAACCTGGAGAGACAGGAGAGAGCAGCAGAGGTGTGAGACCAAGTGAACAGGCCTGAAGAAAACACAGTGACAGGCCACTACATACCTTGGCTGCTTCAGCTCAGTTAGTCTACATGAAGTCTTTAATATTGAGGTCATCTAGAGCGTTCCTGGGGGGCTGAGGCTTTCTGGGGCTCTGGGCCATTCCAGGAGACATCTGCAAACACCACTAGTGTGAGCAACCTCAGCTTTAGATCATTAGACGATTAGAAGCTGTAGTTTTCAGAGAACAGTGTGTTACCGGTGCTGCGGGGGCTGCTCCAGTGGCTTGGAAACCTGGTCTCACCATGGGCATCATGGGAGCGCCGACACCTGGTGCTCCAGGCTTTTACAGAGAGACATAAAAGAAGGAAAATTCAATAAGACACGACTTTGACATTCTAACGAGTGGCAAGGGTCGCCTAACTGGGGTTATTGTCCATGAGAGGCCAATAATGTCCAGCCTGGCTCAGAGGAACATTACTGGGCTGGACTGTTGGTCTTACCATGCTGTAGCTGGGGTAAGTCCCCATAAAAGGAGGAACCCCCATTGGTATGGTCTAAAGGTGGGGAGGGGAGGGAGAGGAGGAGTTGGGATGTTACATCACAACATATAAGACAGACACACTGCAGGATAATGTGCACACGAAACACACAATGGTAGAATGTTTGGTCAAAGAAAAAAAAACACAGGAAGACGCAGACACAACTCACAACAACAAACATGACAAGAGCACCCCCTACAGTAAGATAAAGATTATTATTATTGTTTATTTACACATGCAGAGATATTCTGCGTTGACAGTTTTACTGTTGCCAGACAGAGATCTACAATATCTTCCAAAAAGTCATTTGAACTAATGTGTGGTAAAACCAGATCCTGTCTGGTCTTTGTTAAACATCACAGACAGATCTTTTTATTATTACTATTGATTTTCTCCATTTTACGATATTCTCTTCAGAATACATTTCAAAATGTATAATTCTGTGCTTTAACTCATGTGTATTTGTGCTGCCCAGCTATCACTAAGACCCCCACCCTCCCTGTCCCAGCTCTGTTATAAACCCCTAAACCCAAGGAGCTGAGTGAAGGCAGTGTTAGAGCTGTTAATGCGCCCTGTCTGTCGCTGCCATGCCGTTCCACTCCATGCTATAAGACACAGACAACATTTACCATGGGAGCACCCCAACTGGGGGGAGCTACCTGAGGGGCCGCTGCAGATCCCATTGAGAGATCTGTAATGAAAAGAGAGAGATAGAGAGAGATTGATGTAAAACCTCTGATATATGACTTAATCTTGAGGTCATTCTCTTTTATTTTCACTTGGTTTGATTAATATTTCTTACAAGAAAAAAAAAATCTAAATTTTTTTTTGATTAATTTTAATCTGTTAATGTCTACTTACTACTCGCCATGTTAGCCATGGAGGCATCGACATCACCGGCTTGAGGGGTCACGGTGGGCTTCATCACGTCACCTAGTCCATCGAATACTAAAGGACAGGATTTTGGGGGCAGGTGGAGCAGTGATAGGTGGAGAGTGGGGGGGAGGGGGGGGACAACAGGGGGAGATATTAGCATGGTTCGCTGCAAAAACTATTCTCCCACTCAGTGTAGCACCTTCCTTCTACTGGGGATTACCATGACAACCCACAAGTGTCTCCATGACAACCAAGGTAGAGGAAGAGCAGTGGAATGTAAACTGCTATAGAGATTAAGTAAATATCAGAAAATACCATTGAAGAATCACTGTAGTTCACCATTACATGAGAATTTGGTTTATACTTTTAATATTTATGCGAATCAAATGGTAGATGTACACTGTTGCTGGGGTAATTATACGTTCCAGTGTCATAACGTGTGTCTCTCTGAATCAAATCATCCAACACGGACTCGCATGGTGTCGGACGTGTTTCTGTTTGTGTGTGTGTGTGTGCAGCAGTAATTAGGGCACGTGTGCTGTAGCCAAAATGAAGCTGTGTTAAATACTAGATACTACAGAGGCACTGAATAATACTCCACCCTCTGCTTCTCCACTATCACTTTGTAACCATGACACATGGTGCTGGAAGGGACAGTGCAGCTGAGCCTGCCTTACACCACTGCAATGCAGCAGGCTACTGTGGGAAATTAGCGATTTAAAGAGCAAGGAAACTCACCCAATCAAATAGCAGGAAGCAAGCAATGAGCCAGCCCAAGAGCCAGATGGGAAAGAGAGGGTGAGGGAGAAGGGGGAAAGAGAGAGACACAGAGAGAGAGAGAGAGAGAGAGAGAGAGAGAGAGAGAGAAAGCAAAAGGTAAAAACAAAAAAGCACGGATGCAGGAAAGAGAGAAAGTGCAGTGAGGTTTAAGAACAGAAGGTTATAATGAAACAGTGACAGTTTGATGTGCAAATGAAAAAGAGAAAAAAAACAGTAATGCTTCAAAGCAACTCATCAATCAGTTCTATGATGGAGACAGATGACACAGGGTTAGAGAGGACCAATAACCAGCTGAGCTGTTCTACAATGAAATAAGAGCAGTTACTTCCTTTACTACCAATGGATGGTCTGGAAAACAAATAATGGAAAATGTTAAACCAACATTGTACCAAAACACAGTGAAAGAAAAATAATAATAATATAATAATTGTAAAACTAGGCTGTATTTAATGAAAAGTCTCCATCATGCAGATTTTAGGACAAATAGGAATAAGTCCTTTTCCTCTTTAATTTCTTGACATTATTTCCCCATAAAATGTATTTTAGCAAATTAATTATGTTCACACATAGGAAATAGACAAACATGTAACATGCATGGTGCAGAAATATTGAATCCCGTTCTGTGTTCATGACATATACAGTATACATGCAGACCAACATTTTACAATAAATAGTTGTTTACCTGACATGAGCTCCGCACCAGGGGCAGCTGGAGCGGCGGGGGGCGCCTGCCGGAGCAGCTGATGCGTCTCCTCCTGTTGACTCTGGCAGGTCAACGCAACAAACATCAAATGGTGGTCAGGGCGAGTGAAGGCATTTCCATTGCAGCATGAGAGAGAAGGGGTATTAATCAGCCTCCAGCACCACACTGGCAATGTCAAACGGAAATATAGACACGTAAATGAAAATGTAGACATTATTCACATTTCTGTCTCCAAATCTCAAACATGCAACGCAGCCACACGCTTATTTTCATAGATGAAAACAGAGCATCTGCATCCATGCAGACTTCTTTCTAACACATTTGACACTTTGAGGCAACAAGGAAAAATGTTTTCTCTGTGTTATTGTGAAAGTAATTTGTGAATATATATCACTATCTGTCAACAAAGAAGGCAATCCAGAGCTAAAGTACAGTGAAAAAAAATCCTAGTTTGCAGCAGCATTCTCTCATTGCAAATGTTTCCTTTAGTGACAGCCTGAACTTTGAGGACAGGCAGAGAGCAGGCAGTCAGTCATCCAGTCAGTCATGTGAGTTACCCACCACCAAACAGGCTCATGATGGCTCCAGTGTCAGTTTTGGTTGGGGGTGCAGATAACAGGATGGGGGCAGGGGAGGTGAACACATCTGCTGTGGAGGTGGAGATGGTGTTTAGAGCACGCCACACAAACCATCATTATAATGCAGTGCCCATGTACCAAGTGCAAATGCAGTGCAACGCATGCCACAGTGAAAGAGGAAGTGAAGGTGATGGAGTTGATAAATGTCCCAGACAGCTTAGCTTTGACAGCAATCTCTGTTTTTCTTCTTCGTCTTTTTTTTTTTTTTTTTTTAGCTTCCCTGACTGATGAAAGCCAAGGACAAAGCTCAATAAGAAAACATACAGAGCAAGACAGGATATGAGAGCAGGGACACACAGGAGATGGCAGACCGGGTGCAATGAGCTCTACCTGCTGTAAACAAGTCACAACTGGCAGCAGGTTCTGCTTTGGTGAAACTCGTGTCTGGCATGGAATCAAAGAGATCTACAAATACATGTGGAACCAGAGACAGGAGTGTTTTAATTCACATTAAAAATGGTTGTGATGGTCACACACACAACAGACACAGTAAAAATGAAAGAGGCATTTGATATGTGCACATCCGCTTGACAAAAGAAATCAATAAAACGACAACAAAGAAGACTGTGTCAGGCAGGCTAACAACCCAGCAAGAGAGATTAGAACCACAGCAAGTAGAACAGCCACATTTACCGCTCAAAAGATCAGTGGAAGGGTTGCTGACACTGGGTGCAAACGGAGGTGAAATGGTTGCGGTGGTGGTGATGATGTTGGATGGTGCTGTGGAGGTGAAGAGCGGGGAAGGGGAAGGTGAGGGAGAGGGCTGGGACGGGGGCGCCACTGAGCCAAAACAGGCGTCCAGGGAATGACTCTGGTTATTACTGTCCACTGTCATCATGCTGAAAAGGTCAACACCTGTGGATGCTGCGTTGACGGTTCCCTCTGAGGGAGCGAAGGGGTCTTGTAGGGAGAAGATGAGTAACACAGACTCAATGTTACACAGCTGGTTTATGGCAAAAAACGGGAATTGTTTAATATGCAATACAAACCAAGATTTGTTTCAGAAAAACATAAATGTGTTCGGGCCAACCGTCTAGACCAGGGGTCTCCAAACATTTGTTCTCCTAGAGCTACTTTTACAAAATAAAAATGGCTGAGAGCTAATCATGTTATTTTCATAGCTCAATTCCAACAAACTCAACACGTTTTTTTTGTGTGGCAGTTGTCATGACAGATCTGAACGCAGCCTTCACGCTGTAGCAAACTTAGCCTTAGGTTTAGTTACACAGATATTATACAGTAGTGAAATTATTTAAGGTTTAGATATAAACTTGTATGATGGCTGTGAATTGAAGTTAATCATTGGCTGCCATAGATTTTGCACATAATTGTTGAGGTAAAAAATCTTTATCTTTTAGCAGGAACATGAAAGGCCTGTGTCTGCAATAGTGAACCAAGGGTTTTACTGGACTGCCTGCAGCCAAGAAACACCTTTAAAAATACCAGGCCCACTGTGAAGGACGAACACTGACCAGTGACTACAAACTTCTAAATTTGTTTGGTTTAATGGACAGAATTACACTTAAAATACTCAAAGTATATTTGCCTCTGAGGGTTAGTGAAGGTCAAAGAAAAGGACCAGTTCACCGATTTGTATTACTTTTTTTAAGGGCATCAACTTTTCTCTCAATGCAGTTCGTACAAGACGTGGCGAACAAAGTGTGTTCACAGCTAGGATGATCACATTAGCTGATGAGAAGGGAATGAAAGCAGAGCAGAACTCTGGAAGGCAGAGGAAAACCTTTCAGTCACAGATTGGTGATTGAGTCAAAACAGCATACAAGTGATGCAAGACCTTAGCAGAGTAAAAACCTAATGAACAAACCACCACTGAACCACATCTGCTGCAGGCAACTGTCTCCAAGACAGAAGGAAATCCTAACTCCTCTAACTCTCTTCACTTCCCATGGTGACAACAGAGCCACTGTCCAGACACCAGTGGTGATAAACAACATTGACCCTTTGGGGGAAAACCGTTTGAGGCTAACAGTTAGCATGCATACAAACACACATGGACTCGCATCCACACATGCCATGCAAATACAACCCTGCAGCCAAGGGAAAGTGAATGTATGTTAATATATACAAACAATACTACAACGTCTCGCATCATTTCGCCCTATAGGTTTCTGTTGCAGAAAAGGTGAGACAGTTGACAATGGGTGATTATTCTGTTCTACCTGCCAACTCATAGCCACCAGATGGTCCGATGACAAATGATACTGAAAATGATTTGTTCAGACGGCGCTGAAACAAACAGATGCCCCCTCTCTTGCAACTACCTTTAGTTTTGTTAAAGAAGCTACTGTTGCCAGGCAGAAAATTAAGCTGAAAATTAAGTTACCTTTATATCGTCATACTGAGTAATTCTCCACCACTCACTCAAACACAGACATGGACAAATTCTCAGTCACCCACCAGCTCCAGCGTTGGCGGCTGGTGTGGATGTAGCTGCAGCCCCACCCTCAGCTGCTGTTGCTGCTGCTGTGGAGGCCTCAGGGGCAGGAGCAGGTGTTGCAAATGCATCTGAGATTCACACAAACCCCAGGAGAGGGCAGAAGACATGCAGAGAGACGGAGACAAGTAAAGAAATACATAGAAAAGGAGAAAAGGAGAACCTCAGAAAACATCAGAGAAATTCAACTGAGAAAGCAGTATTTACATTAGAAAGCAGCTAGTAAACTATAAATTATACTTTCACAACATGGTAGCGATTGATTATTATATGACATTAATGACTGACAGGTGAATAGATGAATGGAAATACAGACAGGAGGCGTTATCTCAGAGAAGGCAGTCTACAGTCTACAGTCTTAGCTATGACAGCCTTCAACGGCTGCAGCAACTTGACACAATTTGATAGCATTGCTTTTCCGAGTAAAAGCATTTCAGACTATCAAACAAAGTGCATGAATATGAAGAGCGCCCAGGCATATTTATTGTTCTTATAGTTTTGACTTGCCTTTATCAATAAATATTGATAAAATATCAATTCCAATAATAAATAACGTGATCCTTTTACAATGATGTGTGAAAATTAATTTACAAACTCACTCAGGAGTTTGTGTGTCGTTAAATTATATTAGGGAATGTATTTCTTTCTACTTTCCGTTTGAACCACATGTTTGGGTTTTTCATTACTTTGTCATTGGAACTAGTACTGCATGGCTTCATAATCGAGCAACTGAATGCTGAGAATGATGGTGGTGTGCATCAATGCATTAGTCTGACTGTTGTTGATGCTGAACTTTGCTCGCAGGACAGAAACAACCAGCAAAGTTCTGTTTAACATGTTGCCTGTGTCCGAACATGCATTCTGGTGTTTTCATACGTATGATGGTTTAAGGGTGGAGCTTCCCAGAGTGATTCTTTGGTAGAGAATTTTCTGGAAGCTCACTGACCTCCCAACAGATCCACATTGGCGGCGCCAGGGGAGGTGGCGGCTGCTGTGCTAGTGGGAGGAGCCAGAGCGACTCCAGGTTCTGCCGCTGCAGGAGTGGGTGTTGCTGCTGCAGGGGCGGCCTCTGCTGTAAGGGTGGGTTCAGATAGCAAGGAATCGCCCATTTCTGCCAGTACCGGTGAGGCATTGGCAAGATTCCCCAAATAAAGTCAAGCAAAAGAAATCCCCGCCAAAAATCAACAGAAACAACCAAGGTGAATCCAACAGAAGCCAAAACCAAGGTCAAATGAAACCCAACCGTTTGGAAGAAGAAATAGCAAAAAGTTACCAAAAGTAACCAAAATAATTTCCAACAACACCAACCAGTCATTAGTAACAAAGAAATAAAAATAAAGCAAACAAGATAGCCCCCATTGGAACCAAAAACAGACGGAATGGAGTATGTGGAGGGAGGGAGGAGAGGAAGGACAGAGAGAAACAAAGACACCACTCAGCCTAGAGAAAACATCTGAAGGAGACAAACAGGGAAGTAGCACTAGTAAACACTAGCATTAGGACACAGAGGTTCTACCAAGCCATTTTCATTGACCAACGACATAAATGTTTTTTAAAATAAGAACTAAAGCAAAAGTCCAACCTACACGGTGTTGGTGGTGTTTTAAGGTTACACTGGTCAAAACTAGAGGCTGGGAGTAAAGGAAAGAACTGGAAAACTCACCTGATCCAAGAAGATCTGATGAAGAAGGAAAAAGACAAAGGAAGAAAAGTAAATACTTTGTTTTTGGATATTTCTAAAATGTTCAAACTAAGGGAAAATCAGAGAGACTCACCTCCCCATGATGTGGGGGCAGCTGATGGTGCTGCGGGTCCCGAGGAGGACAGAGGATCCAGATCCAACAAGGAACTGAAGATATGGGGGAAAAACACATTCAAGTATTTGCTTCATCATCGTGAAAAGATGCAAAAGGAAAAACTGCACTCACTCTTCTGCGGGCTCCGGAGCTGCAGCAGCAGCGCCAGCAGCTCCACTCTCCCCAGGAGGAGGCTGCAGCGCAGGGACAGCGTTTGAAGATTTGGCTGGAGTCGATGTTGGTGACACATTATTTGTAGGAGATCCCTGGAAGATGAAGAGCCAACTTCTTTGTTTGTGCTGCTGACGGAGCTTCACATGAGTGAAGACGAAGACTTTATCTAATCTGTGTCTTACCTTTGTTGGTGACCTGCCAAGGGAGCAGAGAAGAGAGTCTTTTAATTTTGCTTAAAAGACTGTGTTGAGTTGATTGAAAATTTAAAAATAAATATAGTGATTTGATATGAAACAGATTCTAATCATATGAAGTGTTAAATTCCAAGTCATTTGATTTTTTCAAGTGACTACTTATTAAAATACAGGTTAAAGTGACTTTTGAGTTTGGAAATAAAAACACTTCATGTGTCAGAACACACTGCACAGATGTTACGACACACAGTTGTGCGACTTTTTATCACATGTGTCTCTTGCCAAGCGTACACATGTGATTACACCAATACACACATTTCCATGTGAACCTGTACAGGAGGTTTCACGAGTTGTGATGTATGATTTTTTTTTTCTCCACATTTTTTCCTTCACTTTCATATGGCAATTCATAATGCATATGAACAATGTGTGTGTTTATCCTGGAGGGCAAATGTCACTAAATACACTGCCATTCCTCTAAGAACAACTAAAAACACACAGTGTATGCTCACCCTTCACTGGTGGTTCCAAATGAACACAAAAAAGATAAGACAAGGAAAAGAAGTGTCAACGGAAAATATAAAGTTGAAACACCTCTCCTTGCAGTTGCTCTCAATGACTTGTTTTCCTGTTATTTAGACACATTCATGGGAGGCATGAAAATAAAGACTTTCTTACCCCTTCTTTCCACCCTTTGCATCCTCAAGGCCGTTCATATGTGTTTCCAAAGACTCCAGGATGCTGCTGGGAGCCTGGACCAAAACACCAAAGCTGAATTTTAAAAATAACTCTTCTACACATACAGTACTTCATGAATTCACAGCCGTTTGTAAAAAAAAAAAATTCAAACGTTTGAAATCTTAAAAGTCAGGAAGCTGAAGAAAATCTCACTGCAAGAGACACAGCCATGCACACACACACATGGGGCTAATAGTCCCGAGTGTTTGTCCATTAAAATCATCATGCTGACACTGCATTTTGCAAAGACACGCTCAGCCAGGTCACCCTCAGTTTCTGGGGTTACCGAATCTTCGGGGGGCTTAAAGGGACAGTCTTCATCGTCTGAGTCTGCAACATCCACCACTACACCCGGGTGGAGACACTGGGTTGGGGAGACGGTGGTGTGTGAGATGTGAGTTTCATGCGTTTGTGTGTGTGTGTTTGTGTGTGTGTGTAATGTTTGAGACGTGACATCCCTGTATGAATTGACATCACATGCATGACTTACATAGTTGATGTCGGGAATGTCATTTTTGTCGACTCCCACTGTCTGTTAAAAGGAAACAGTGCAGAATTAGCATGACTGTAGCAACATTACACAAGGTATTAACCTTCCCGTGCATCAACAGTACCTCAGCCAGCTTCATGAATTCCCCAATCTTTGTCACCCTGGTCAGAAACCTCTTGTAGATCTCCAGGGCGTCCTTGCAGTCACTCTTTTTCATCTTGAAGTATTTCTCTATGTAAAAAAAGTACAATATTTCAGTTTTAAAATCTCTTTGATTGTCAAGAAAGCACAAACAGATTCTCAATACACACTTACCTAATAGGTTGATGATGCCATCGTTGTAGGACGCAAACAGTTTGACCAGGTCTTTAAAGAGAAGCAAAAATGCAGCATTGATGATTCCATTGTTCAGCTCCTTGGGATGAACCTGAGTGGAATTTGAGGTGGAAAGATAAGATTAGATTGAACTATATACATATATCATTTATTAGGGTTTTTGATTGTACATCTCCGACTAACATCAAACTCCAGGAGTGTGTCGATCTGAGTCTGCAGCACAGGCATGCCTTTCAACAGCTTCTCAGTGGTCATGGTCCTCATCACACCCTCAGCACTGACAGGACACAGGAATAGAAAGATATAAATGGACCGTATGACATGATGAACCAGTGAATGATACCTTTTACACTAATGAGAGAGTATACTATGCTATAAAGTATAATAAAAATAGATGCAGACCCTTTCTTCACTCTGGTGAAATCAAAAGCCATCTGGCGGTAGGCGAACGCTTTCTCATTCAGGTATCGACCGTACCGTCTGATGAATGTAGACATGTCATAGCCTGAAGAGCAAAAATAAATTTACCAGCGCCAGCCGAAGTTACCGAGGTTTGAATATTAATGTAGTGTTCATCATCACATAGTATTATATATAGATATATGCATCTTACCATGAGAACCGGTTTTGTCAATAAAATTGCTGAGGTTGAACAAGGAAGTCCTGGAGGCCAAGTACTGAATGAACCTCTGAGGGACAAGAGCAGACACAGTAACGTCTGCAGTACTGCAGTATATGCAGTGAAAACAGGCCTTAGCTGATAGCGGTATGCAACACTGAACTTCAACACCTGTAAATCCTGGTGACTTTTTCTCTTAGTTTCATATAATATATATAAGAATGAATCTAGTTGTAGTCGTGACTGCAGCTCCACCATACACAACATTTACCACAGTCAAATTCCAGGGAATTCAAATTGTGAAACACCTGAAGCTCCACTTACTAACCTCATTGCCGTGGACGCACATGTGATGCGTAGTGACGAGGGCCTTGAAGACAACCACCCAGCTGGCATTGGTGGATCTTTCGAAGAGTGTGTCAGCCATCTGAGGAATGTTGACATTGGTGGTGTTGGTGGCCGACACCAGGTCTGTGAAATGTTAAAAAAAAGACATTACTGAGGTACTGCTTAGAAAAGTTTGAAACTGAATATCACTTTTTATTTTACCCTGAGACTGATGTGCACATAATTCAAAGTGCTCTGATTAAACTTTGATGAAATGTGAACAATTACTGAAGTGCTGAGAGACAACCACGAGAATATAGAGTCTGAAGGAAGGACCTGATGCTGATACAAAGTGATGTTGGTGCACAAACACCCCAACACGTACATTGTGGCACATGCTGACAGCGCAGGGGCAGAGAGCTAAAAAATTGTGCTTTGTCATCTCGTCTTCTTAGTTGCCAGTTTAGACAGGGACCAAAAAGTCCGTCTAAAGGAACTGAACTTGGACAAGAAAGATGTGAAGATATGTATTATCATACAAACAAACAAGATGTAATGAATATGTCCATCGTTTATGTGTCTATTTACCCTGCATTTCATTTCCGTGGCTTAACAAGGCCAAGTGTGTTCAAGGAGAAATTCAGCAAATATTGACCGACACTGCTAATAATGGACAATAATGAAGGCTGTCATATTGAACAGTCCTTGTCTGGTCTAGCGTAGCTCAATACCAAGCTGTAGGACAGAGCAGCTGGGTAGTGATCAAGAAATAGCAGGAGGGAAACGATAGAGCAGACACAGAGTCTGATGCTGGGAAACTGTAATGTTGACACGAGTGTGAAGAAAATGAAGAGAAATCAGAATTCAACTGGAGAGACTGTTGGATGTCATGAAAGGGTGAGAAGAGTGGGAAGGTTCAGGTGGTTGGGGAGTTGTAAACAGATTATTACTAATCACTGGATCTAGTCTCCCTATGGTGGCCAGCTTACTGCCCAGCCCCCCTGCTGGGTATCAACATGTACTGTAGGTGGTCTACATGCCACCAGTGGAGAAACAACAGTACTGCACACCCTTTTATCACCAATATTCTACCTTTGTGCATGAATTTGTCCTTGTGTGTAAGCAACAATTGACGGCCAACGTATCTTGTCTCATCCCTGCTCAGACAAACTGGATGTTTCTGCTGGGCCTTTGTGCTATCCCGAGTTCAAACAGACAATGTTGTTTATGGTCAGTTATAGCTGCAGTAACACCTACAGTATTCACTCCTCCGGCCTCCTCTTATGGCTTCAGTGATGCAGTTATTCTCACATATTTTCTTTAGCAAAACAAAAAAAAAAACAGAGAAAAAACTTTGACACCCACGGTGACTAAAAACTAGGCTATTCGTTTTCTGACACATCATGAAGAATAAAATAAGTGGAAAGGGTGTTTAACAATGTTTAACAAACAAAATTAAGTTTACTAGTGAGAGCACTACTTATACCACTATCAAATACAACTTTTAAAACTGATTGTGTTACTTGGTATAAGCCCTGCTGTCCAGTGTGTTTTTATGTGGCCCATATCACAGACTATAATCTAATGTGAATAATTGGTAACAAACACACACACTCATGTGTGTATACAGAAGGTGTGTCTCATCAGGATTGGCTGAGCTAAATAAAGACTCTTACGTTAATCTGTGGCCCACAACAGGCATCCAAGTGTGGACTACAAGATCTTACAGAGTACTTCTGTGTGTGCTGTTTGTTTAAGTTAGCAAAACAACAATCTGGTCATCCTTAGAAAAACTCAAACAAAGCCAAGAGCAAATTAAATATGGGAAATCTGGCAAACATTTGCTTTTTTTTTTTTTCAAAGTGAGAAATAGCAAATAGACCTGACTGGAACAGACTGCTTATGTAGTATACAGTTTTTTTTTGGGGTGGGTGGGGGGGTGTACTGTAACTGCATACATTACATTGGAAGAACTGTCATTTGCTTTCTTCCTTTTCACAGCTTCCCTCTTATTTCACTGAGCCATTGGCTTAAAACCCAATCTGTTGATATGGCAACTGAACTCCATCACACACAACACACACACACACACACACAGTCCATCTACCCCAGGGTCAGGGGCTGTGTCACTTTGATTAAGGAACAAGTACAAAAGGCTCTTTGCATTGTTGGTTGAATCTATCTGCTGCAGGCAGTGCTACAGTGAAGCTGCATTTTACTGGTGCTTTCAAGTGATCACTGCAGGTGCACAGCATATACAGAGCTTGACTTATGTGTTACTATCTTCAGTCTAGAAGTACTACACACCAACATGCATCAAATGTATGTGTGCAGTGCCTCAGGGGAAGCATTGCCAGGTATTTGAGGTTAGGCATTTCCTCCAGTCAGGTTTCATGTTCATAGTAAGAACAGTGGCCTAAATCAAGGGGTTTTGTTGTTCTGGAATTGGACTACACTTAAAAACCTTTAAAAACAGGTTTGGGGTGAAGTATATCCTGATTTATTGGCTTATAACTAAGTAACATACACAGTAAAATCGTACACATAGCAGAACTGTTTTTGCTGCCAGTGCTGCAGTCTTGACTCTCAGCCTGTGACATTTTCACAGCAGCTACATGTTTAACAGCAAGTACAAAATCGTGATGAGACTCGAATGGTTGCTGGTGCATTCTGGCATTAGCACTGTCACCTTTGGCTGTGTAAATAATGCAGGGCACTCATTGGCTGATTATTAAATTATTCAGCAGGGGAGCAGATCACAAGATATAAGGTCCCAGCCCAAGACACGGGGCCAGACCTGCCAAGTGACCAAACCGAGGCAGACACAGACAAATCAGAGGACACAGAAGCAAATAGATTTCCTGTCACTGTCTGTATTTGGTGGGACGCCACTGCCTTGCTCTGACTCAATGCTTGTGGTAAATGACAGTGATTAATCATGACTTGTCGTAAGGTGGCTGCTGCTGTTGTGGGAAGACGTGTCAATAAAGCTGTGAGGTCTGAAACATTTACTTGGCTGTGATTACATAGTGTAACAGCCCGGTGATCCACGTGGAAATGGTTTTTACCCCAACATCTTTATGAGTTAGTTAGACAACCTCTTAGGTTTATGCCATTTTATTTTACTTAATTTTGTGTTTGCATATGCATGATCTTACTTTGATGCATGGTGTGAGACATATGGTATGCCTTTGTAGGACATCGTCCTCACTGAGTGCACATTTTTTTCAAGTTATTGAAAAAGTTTCTGTAAATTTAACCTAATTTTCTTTTGCATCAGTAAACATTCTCCCGACTAAGCTACAGTTCTAGGGTCTTCTACTAAAGCTTATGATGTCTGTTTTGTAATATGGCTTCATCCTTTTTATATTTTTCTCTCCTGTCTTTTTTCTCTGCTTTTCTTTCCACCCTCTCTCTCTCTCCTGGTCCCCCATCCCCTCCTCCCCTTCACCATCTTTAATGGAGTGAGGTTTGACACATAGGATAACCGGTTGGGTCATCAATGTGGTTCCATCAATAAATTACGGCACCACACCCAATGTAGGCATGGGTATTAACTAGGAGCTGGTAATAATAACTCTGATAGTGAAGGCATGCAGGCAGGGACGGTAGGGTTCTGTCTGTATAAGGGCCTCTAATACAGTTATAGAGCTGGGAGATAAAATGAATGACTCCACTTACAGTCCAGGTGCTTTTTCTTGGGCGGCATCACTTCATGAGTGGTGGCTTTGCACACAGCTCGGGCCATATCTGATCCCGTTAGCTGGTATTGCGCAGCGGCAATGCGATCTGTGAGCGTCTGCCCCGACATTTTCTCTCCACTGACTCGACCAGCTCAGAAAATGATGTCTCAATCAACCACGGTACAAAGTCCAATGAACGATTTTTGTAAAACACAGCAGATGCTTCCAGGTGGTTCGGTGTAAGGATCCCGGTGCGTTCCTTGTCTTCGACTGATAGGCCTGTGACCTTATATGTGGGCGGAGAAACGCACACACTGAGCTGAAACAGTCTTATTTTCTCATTAAACAGTACGGTCACGTTGATTGTGTGGTTGATGACAGCAGCAGACTTACGCAAGGCTGAGAATTTCCCCCACGGTTGGTCCCGTTCACTTCAGCACCTTGGACAGCTAAAACCACTCCGTTATGTAACAGTCAATGGAAGCTGTTCCCTCAACCCGCAGCAATAATTTCTAAAATAGACCAATCAGCGATGCTCCTCAGATCGACTAAACGTCCTCGTAAGATCGTGGAATACAGGCCTGTTCAGTCTTCTTCTTTTGCAGCGGAGATTATGTTAGCTGCCTTTGCGCAAACGTAGGTGCATTAAAAATATTTTTACACGAAATAAATGGATGCGTCCCTTTGCGTCTGTCAGACTGTAGCGTTTCTTCACTTAAAATGCGCAAGTCTGCAAGAAGATGTCGCAAACGCTGCGCTGCGCAAGAAAGATGCTCAGGAAGAGGAAAGACAGATGGGAATTTCCTTTTCTCCTTCCGTCCTCCACCGTCGGTGGTTCATTTGCCCTATCGCTACGACCATCTAAAGTCTCCTCCCCCGGCTGCTTGGACAGGGTTGGATGACATACGTCGCAACCCACGACTCCTTAAAGGGGAGTCGACCCGGGGGAGGGTCGGGCACCTCGCTGTGCAGGATCACACCGTGCACCACAGGGGTTAATAACATACGAGCGTGAGTACATCGTGTGCTGCAGCCATCACAGAGGTTTGCACGCAAAGGCTGTCGAATTGACAGATAGAGGATATAGAAAAATGACTTGTGCAGAAGAACATACTATCCTTTATCTTAAACACACGAGATAGAGTGTGTGTGTGTGTACAGAGATCTTTATTTCCAAGGTCGCCCTGCAACATTCAAATGTCAAATTATCACGTCTATTTTGAAAGCAAAAAACAAAACAAAAAAAAAAACACTTAAATATTGGTGTTTGTGTGTTTAGATGTATTTTTTTGATGGTGAAAGTTGGACCTCATACTTTGCACAATTCGAGGACAAAAGTGTGTTTGACTGAAACAGGATGACATTAATTCACTTCCTAGAGTTTCAGAGTTCTAAAAATCTAGAATTAAAATAATCACAGGTTTGAGGTTCGGACCTCAAGATTAAAAACTAGTTTCCTGTGGAGATGAGTGAAGGCATGATGTGGAGATAAACATTATTACACAACAATAATCTAAGAAGGTGTTCGTTTTATTTATTTATTTTTACAGTGTTACACATGTATAAAAAGCAGAAAATGTTATTACAATGTGTAATAAACAACCCGATCATACATTTGATTGCATGATGTGTTTATTGTCATATAGTAGTTTATGTTGACGGTTTACATTCTAACCCAAATTTACAGGTTACGTTTCTGCCTCGGGAAGTTTGTTTTAAATATAAATATTACCTGTTTTTTAGCGGTGGAACTAGAATAATGGCTTTTTGCTTTGACAGCGTCGCCTGCGTACGTCATTACGTCATTACGTCACGTAACAAACCAGGAAATGCCACATCATCAGTGGTGAGTAAAGTCAACGTGTTGTCCTTTAACCCTGCAGCAGTTAAACACGGGAAAACAACACAGTAAGTGCAATTTAACAGTCATTCACAATATTTGCAATGTTTATATAAAGCCGTAACCATGTGATTTTGTCCTATAAATATAGAAAGACTAAGTGAGTTGTTGAGAGCCACGTCTTTGCCCGGTGTTTTTGGCGACTTTCTTGTAGTCTAAAAGGGTGTTTAATGCAACGGTTGCACATCGGGTTTTAAGTTATTAGAATGAAGGAAGACCATAATCATATACCAAAGAATTATTCAGTAATGTAAGAAAAAGACTGACATTAAAACAAACAAACACAAGAACAAATTGAATTTAAATCATTTTGATGACTAATAAGAATGTATTGGATGTGCCCAAAATAAAGGAAATGCAATAATAAAATGACTAAGTAATGGCACCAAACCAGGACCTGGTCCTGACATCACACAGTTTGTCCTGAGCCACTGCGATGAATCGGTGGTTTTCATCATGGTCTGACTTGCCTGTGTTTTATGTTCTAACGTATTTTTCAGGCATGGACCATTTTCAGGAAGTAATAAAACAGTCCACTCACCACCCAAAACCTCCAGGACTGGTTTTGCAGTATGGCACCGCTGGCTTCAGAACAAATGCCAAACACCTGAATCATGTCATGTTCAGGATGGGACTAATGGCAACCCTCCGCTCCAAGAAAACCCAAGCCACCATTGGTGTCATGGTCACTGCATCACACAACCCCGAGGTACTGTAGTATAGTAATCAAATATATTAGAGTAGTGAATGTCAGAATCTGTAAGTTATTAACAACACTGTGTGCTATAGGAGGATAATGGGGTGAAGGTGATTGACCCTATGGGAGAGATGGTGACACAGACGTGGGAATGCTACGCCACTAGGCTAGCAAATGCAGAGGAGGACACTGATTTAGTCACTGCTGTGAAAGACATTATACAAAAAGAGAACATTGATATGAGCCAGAAAGCCAGTGTTTTTGTAGGCAAGGACACCAGGTAAAATATTCTTATCCCTCTGTTTTTTACTTTTTTGTGCTTTTTACATTGTTAATTTTAGTTCTATTAAATTATTTTAATATTGAAAAATATTCACTTTGCTCTTAAATCTTGAATAATGTTAAGCTCGAATTCCAATAAAACTTTATAGTTGTAATGAATGCATTGTATTTGAATTACAGGAGCAGTAGTGCTGCTCTTTCACAGGCAGTGCTGAGTGGAGTGACTGCCCTTGGTGGATTAACCAAAGGTAAAATCCTGGAATTATATTTATTTCTCGTTCTGTTTGACAGATTTTTAAAAATATTTTCTTCTTTTTCAGTCCTGTTTGTCACATTTTTTTTTTTCATTTCTTCCCAGATTATGGTTTAGTGACGACGCCACAGCTCCACTACATGGTTTGTTGTCAGAACACACACGGTAAATATGGAGAGCCAACTATAGAAGGATACTACAGAAAACTTTGCCAGGCTTTCATCCAGCTCATTAAGAATGTAAGTGACCTGGGTGTGTCATTCATTCCTGTTACCTAATGTCACCCTGTGTTTCTGTTCACTATGTATTTGTTTTAATATTTAATCTGTTCAGTAAATAAATTTGTCCTCTTTTTTTCTTAACTCCATCATTTTCCTTGTTGTAGGCGTCGAGCTGGACAGATGACCAGAAGCAGCTTTGGGTTGATGGTGCTAATGGCATTGGTGCTCTGAAGCTGCGTGAGATGGAGAGTCACCTGAACAACAAGCTGCAGATTTGTGTGTTTAATGATGGCAACACGGGGAAACTAAACCACCAGTGTGGAGCTGACTTTGTCAAAGTTCAACAAAAACCTCCCCCAGGTAAAAGGGACTTGTTTAAATGATATATAATATTCTCTGGTCTTTGTTTAAAGGGCCACATACATACTGTGTGCTCTCTTACATGCACATCTACCTTAAAATGTGTTGTTGAGGTGTTCAAGTTTAATTAACGTATCTGTTTGCCACCTGAAAAGGTATAACTGTCAACCCGGACCAGCGTTATTGTTCCTTTGACGGTGACGCCGACAGAATAGTTTATTACTACACGGACTCCAAGGGTCGGTTTCACCTTCTGGATGGAGATAAGATAGCTACGCTGATTAGCACTTTCCTAAAGGAGCTGCTCACACAGGTTCGCTCGCTGTCAACACATGTAACATTATACCAGGACGTGTTCGTTCACTACCTCTAAGTATTTTTTTTCTTTGTGGACTAAAGGCTGGTTTAGACCTGAATATGGCAGTAGTGCAAACAGCATATGCTAATGGCAGCTCAACAGTTTACTTGGAGGAAACCATGAAGGTAAGAGACTTTCTAAGTTATTTAACATTAATAAGAAGTCATTGGTGTTCATGTAGTTGACTTGTCTTTTCTGCAGTTAATAGTAAAATGCACTAAAACTGGAGTGAAGCACCTCCACCACGCAGCTCAGGACTTTGACATCGGTGTTTACTTTGAGGCCAACGGCCATGGGACTGTGAGTAATCAAATCTCCAGTAGCCCATGTAAAGAAAAAAATATGTCTATGATGCGTATTAATGCATTTACATGGTCTTAAGGTTTTGTTTAGCAAAACAGCTGAAGAGAAGATCCAGCAGCTCACAGAAGATCTCAACGCCAGTGACGACAGCAAGAAAGCAGCTCAGCTGCTGCAGAACACTATCAACGTCATCAACCAGGTACAGAAGTACTATAAACACCAGAAGTCCACTGTAAAAACATGTGAAGATAAAATAACACATACCTTTTCTTATCTCCTTAAGACTGTAGGTGATTCTATTTCTGACATGTTGCTGATTGAAGCCATTCTGGCCATTAAAGGAATGACTGTCCAGCAGTGGGATTCCATCTACAGTGACCTTCCAAACAGACAGCTTAAAGTCAAGGTACTTTATATTTGTACATAATCTATGTTAAAGTATTTTAAGTCTCATTGATTGTGCGTGGGGACATTTTTCTTGGGTTTCTTTGGGGGGGAGGCGGGGGATACATGAAATGAATGGAAAGAAAATTGTTATTAATTACAAATCAGTTAATTGTTTTGTTTTGGGGTTTTCTTTCCTGCAGGTGTCTGACCGCAGAGTGATCGAGACAATAGATGCTGAGAGACGTACAATGAGCCCCGCAGGGCTACAGAAGGTCATTGACAATTTAGTGAAGAAGCACAAACAGGGACGCTCCTTTGTGAGACCCTCAGGTACCGAAGACGTGGTCAGAGTTTATGCTGAGGCTGAAACGCAGGTGAGAAATCCCATTTTATAATGGTGCCTTGGCATCTGCCGATGGGAAGACAGTGGGACTAAAGCTTCCTTTTTTTTAACCATGATTTTTTTTTTGTGTTAGGAGAGTGCCGATAGCCTCGCACATGAAGTCAGTCTAGCAGTTTATCAACGCGCAGGAGGAGTAGGAGAGGAGCCGAAACCATTGCACAAGACACACAATTGTTTACAGGACACCTGTATTTCATCTCATTGAAACTCCATGTAGATTACACGTACAAAATCATGTAAAGCTGTTATTTATCCATTTCAATATAATTTGTGATATTCTATCATGGACCAATAATTTTACCTATTTGTACCATTGCTTTTATTTTGTATCTATTTGCATATACTTCATGTTGGGAAAATGGGATGCACTAAGTTTAGCAATGAAGAAATACAATGCAACTCAGTGATACACTTAAGCTACTTTATCTTCAGCAAAAAAAAAAAACTTTTTTTCAAATCATGAATTTATACGGAAAACATTTTTATCAGTATTTCCCATAAATTCCTCAATTAATTCATGCCTTTTAAGTTAATGTTTCTGTGAATATTTGCTGTTTTAACTGCCAAAATGCTGAATGTTAAGTGTGTGATTTTGCAACCTCTAGTTGCAATATTGTATTTTTCTATTTAAATTATCATAGGGAATAAAAAAGAGCAGCACATTTGCAATGAACACAAACCAATGAAAACCACGTCTATGTTTGCTGCAGTTTATTTGTTATTTTCAAAGTCGTCTCCTTGACACACAGGAGGATTAATGCGCTACAGGGCAAGAAGAAGCTAACACGGTTAGGAGCAAGCAAAACAGGCTGTCAGGACAAAATATGTGGTCTCTACAGAAGATAGGACACACTGTGTTTTCTTGTGAAGTCAACCTGAATTTGACATGTTTTTAATGGGTTAGGAGAAGGGCTTTATTTCTCGATAGTTAAATAAAATGGTTATTCTTCGTCAGTCTCATCAGCTGCTCCGGAAATGATGATGGTGCGCTCCTGTGTGTCGCTCTCATAAGTGTCTTTATTTGTCTTAACTGTTCTGGGACAAAAACAGAGACAAAGAGAAGAAGACAGTTCAGAGAGATCGCTGTTCTATGATATTTGTCCATACAGGCTGGAAACCATCCAGGATCTTAGTCCGCACACTTCCTGTTTCCTCTTTACCTGATGAGAAGTGTCTTCCTCTCAGACGTCTCTGTAGCCTGCTCCACTATACCACCCTCTGTCTGGGTGTCTGGCGAGGACACCGCCACCTCCGCCGCCTTATCGTCCGTGCTTTGACTGGTGTCACTGTGGGGAATGTTCAGTTTTGGAATTGGTTGAGATGCAGTGCTGTCTCCAGATGTACCTGATGCAGAAGCAGACACGACACGTGTGCTTCCACTGGAAGTGATGGACAGGCCTCCGGTAAGGCACAGGTGTCCAACCATGTCACTCAGTCGGCTGTCCTCACCCTCAATCAGCTTCCTGTAAAATACCACATTTTTAAAAGAAACCCCGAGGTCCTGCTGTTTTGTGCAGTTTCCTTTGTAAATGTTATTGCTGTGGCTTTTCCACTCGAAAACCATGGCATGCGGGCGTTTTGCTCACCTGTACGTGGTGATCTCAATCTCTAGAGCCATCTTAACATTAAGTAGGTCCTGATATTCCTTTAGCAGCAGAGCTATCTTCTCCTTAATTACTTTCAGATCAAGCTTAATAGATTCTATGCGCTCCTGTTGTAAGAAATAAACCAGGATGACAAGCAATAAAATGCAACATGAATTAAAAAGATTTTCGTAAACTTGATTCTGTGCATTAAAAAGTCATACCTCCAAATCATCCTCCTCCTTTTTGTATTTTTTGGCTGCGTCACGAATCTGAGCCTCCAAATATTCATTTCTAGTCTTCAGTGACTCCAGTTCTCGCTCTTTGTTGAGAAGCTAATGTCACATAAATAGACGGTGTTTTAAGGCTAAGTAACAGTAGTGAAGGTTTAACAAAAAAAAAACGAACCTCTTTTTTATAACCTGCTAGTTCCTCTCTCAGGCTTCGAAAACTTTGTACATGCCTGGCAGAGGCATCACTCATGTCCTGAAACTTTGTTCTGTACCAGGCATCCATTTCCTTAAAAGAAAAATCACCAGTAGAATTCAGAGAGAACAACTTTCTGTCCGTTAATGTGTACTAGGTCAATGATATCACAGCTTTACTGGTGCAGCATGCTATACCTGTAGGTTCTTGGCCGCGATGCTGTCATACTGAGACTGAATTTGTCTCATTGCGGAGGAGAGATCTGGGAGGTCAAAGGTCATGTCAACCTTGGCAGTTATTGAATAGATCTGCTGCATGAGCTCCTCGATTTCCTGCCAGGACATCGTGAACAAACAGTAGTATAAGAAGCAGCAACACATGCAGCACTGTAACACAGTCTATCTTAAAATATCAAATGTGGGCTAGTATTTCTCTGACACCATGTGAAAATGTTAGCCAGAGTTTCCTCTTCAGCTTCATACGTTTCTGTCACACCAAAAAGTCAATTACTGCATTTGCGGTGTTGCTCAAAATTTCTCATTACTACCTCATGCCAAGCAGTTGTTACTGATTCATTCACTGAGCCCTGCTATGGACGGGCAGACGTGTGCTCAGACACTCACTTCCTTGTGAACTCTCTGCAGAAAGGCCAGCTCAGTGTGCAAATTCTCCAACTGCTTCTCCAGTCTGATACGGGCTGAAGTGGCTGTGTCCACATCCTGGGGCAGAAGAAGGCACGAGGTTTTGGAAAAGTGAAGCAAAAATAATATGTTGGAAAATGCTTTTTCAAATTAAACCTTTCACTGAGTCTTACTGGGCGAAGTGCCTCAATGTCCTCCTCTGTCTTTTTCCTGGCAGCCACAACTTCATCATATTTGGCCTTCAGCAGGTCTAGTTGGCCCAGTACTGCTTCTTTGGATGCCAAGGACCTATCCTGTATAGGACAGGCATAATGAGGTTAAAAAAAACAAACAAAAAAAATTTTTTTATGGGGTTAAACTGAAGATTACAGTAATCCTGTCACCCTCTGGACTCTCATCAGGTCAGCCTCTCTGTTGAGTTCTCTAAGCTGGGATTCATACAACTGCCTGAGGCCAGATGGTTTAACATGGCGACCTTTCAGGGCCTCAATCTCAGCCTCCAGCAACTTATTTTGTGACTCCAGTGTTCGCACCTAAAAGTAAAAAAAGAAATAAACTTCTTTGTTTGCTTAGTACTGTATTATGATTCTTGCCAAAGCAGGTCAATGTGAAATGTGAAAAAAAGGCCTTGCCTTTTCAATATAAGCAGCCAGGCGGTCGTTGAGTGCTATCATCTCCTGTCTCTCATTGCCTCGAGTCACCATGAAGGCCTGGTTCTCGGCTGTAGCAGCATCCAGGTCCAGTTTTGGCCCCAGCCCCATGGACATACCAAAGCATAACGCTCCCAGACTCACACTGCTGTGGAAGAAAGCACCACAAATTATACAAAGATCACTTCAGTGCATTTGTCATTATTATGACCAATAATGTAAATGCATCTTTTGTGATGCTTTATACAGATATTAGGTTCTATTTCAAGTAATTTAGGTTCAACATTTCAGGTAACCTACCTGGTCATCTGACTCTTACTAGGGAAGGCTCTGCGGCCAACTGACCCTCCACTCCGGGTGTAGCTGGCAGAGCGGTAACGTGTCTCTCTTCTGGTAGGAGATGGACTGGACACCCTGATCTGTAAGGTAGCAGGCATGGCCAGAGCACACTCGAAATGACGGCGATATGAGGACATCCTCTCTGGACTGCGGCTCATGTTGACTTTCTCTGTGGCTGCTAGGACTTCAACTGGATAATTGGAAGAGTTGGCTCACAACTTCAGTCTTTGGTGGGGTCTTTATAATCAGCTCAGCCCTTCCCTCAGCATCACAGAGGAATGTTGAACCTTCCCAGCCCAATCATGAGCATAGCCACAAACATTTATCACAGGAACGTCAAGACATTATCTTATTATAGGGAATTAAAGGAATTTCAAATAATTATGAAATTATTTTCACACAGTTTCTTGAATCTGTTAGGTTATTAATGTCTCTAAACTTTTTTTATACACATCATATCACACAATGCACCTCACATGATAAATAAAACACTTTATTCACATGTATGAGTACACCCAGAACAATCACAGAATACTAGTTTTTAAAATAAAAGCTTTTCTTAAATGTATAGACATACAGTAAATGCAGACATTTCACAGTACAAAGTATATTTCTGTCTAAAAAAGAATTAAACTAAACAGTCCATTTTAATACTACTTGGCTATTGTTTTTTATGACCAAAATGTCATCCTATTTAATTTTTATTTGCAATCCCAATTTTATTTGCCCCAGCAATATTTTTTCACTTTCATGTTGGTGTTCTTTGTAGGAGGTAAAAGACAAGAAATAACCCGGAACGCTTTACTGAGCTCTGCGTGTCGCACTACGGAAGGTTTTCGATGTTGCGCCTATGTGCAGCTTAACTAGTTTTGTTGTGATATCCACTTCTTTAAAAACGATTCATACATTTTTAGTGTTCATATCTACCTCAATTTTTTTGCGACATGGCAGGAAACTTCTGGCAGAGCTCGCACTAGTAAGTCTTTCTGGTTTTTGCGTTTTCTGTGTTTATTTTGGAAATCGCCGTCTTTGTTATGAGGCCTCGCTCTGCGTCTAACTGATTTCATACGGTTTGAACCGATCTGACCTTAACAACAAAAAGCAAACAATAAAGGAACTGAAATCTATATATTCTTAATATGAAAGCCTAATGACACATAAATACAACAGTTAAACAACCTACCTGCAGAAATTATGTCTAATGGACAGAGTGTGATTGTTGTGCTATGAGCTAGCTAGAATAACTGGTATACCAAAATAATCGAGTAAACATTGATGACGCTACATTTGTCCTTACTTTCCAAAGTTTGCAGTGGGTGCTGGATAAACAGGACCTGATGAAAGAGCGTCAGAAGGATTTAAAATTCCTGACAGAAGAGGAGTACTGGAAGCTGCAGATCTTCTTTTCCAACGGTACTCTATTCTGTGGACTTCCAAACACAACAAGAAGAATAACTCGTCCTAAAAACTCAAAATAATAATAATAAGAGTAATAATATTCTATTGTTATTTTCTGCCATTTGTGTCCCTCTCAGTGATTCAGGCGCTCGGTGAACACCTGAAGCTGCGGCAGCAGGTCATTGCCACAGCAACTGTTTACTTCAAACGCTTTTACGCCAGGTAAACATCGACAAAACAAAACCTTTAAAATTGTAACAGTAACATAATTTAAATGTTATTCTGTTAACCATCTATTGTCCAGTCTGCCACATATTAAGGTTGTCTCTTCAATGTTAAAAATTAAAAAGCCAAAATCATATACCGTTTTTCAACTAAGCTCCTGTAACCACATATATTTCCAAGGCAGAATTGTCACATTGTATTTATAGCATTAGCATTTAATGTTCCTCTAATATTGTACAATTCATTTTTTGTTGTTTGCAGATATTCCCTTAAAAGTATAGACCCAGTGCTAATGGCACCTACTTGTGTATTCCTGGCTTCTAAGGTTGAGGTATGGAAAAGTAAAAAAAAAAGAAAAAGTAAAATCCATCAGCCTGTGCCGATCAATTTCCCATATTTTTTTGTGCATTCTGTCACAGGAATTTGGAGTTGTGTCTAATACTAGGCTGATTTCCGCAGCGACCTCTGTGTGTAAGTGATGTCTTCTGACAGTATTTATTTTTAAACCTCGAATCGCTGCTCGGATCTGTCAGAGTGTGTTTCCCCCAGCCATGGAAATCTTTTGTTTTTACAGTAAAAACCAGGTTTTCCTACGCCTTCCCGAAGGAATTTCCATACAGAATGAATCATGTGAGTAAAATTTATTTATTTGTATCTGTTTGTATTATGTGTATTTAGTTGTAGAGAAAGACAAAGCAGGACATAAATCAGTTAAATCACTCGTCGAAGTTATGCGCTAGTGGATTCCCCCTTCAGCGACTTGTTTGTCTGCTTCCTCCACAGAATTATTTATGCAGTGTTGTGCCACATTGCAGCATACCAGGACATTGTTGTCATGTTAGTGTCCATTAACATGTTAGATTCCACAACTGAGGTTCACAGTCTCTCGATAAAAACGTATTGCTATGTGGGAAAACTTTGACCGTGGCCACCAGTGCTCAGGTCTGTTGTGGGCAGCATCTATCACTGTGTTGCTAAGTGGACATTTTAATATGCCCCAGCAACTCCACTCAGTTGTCAATCCGTCACTTGGGTGGTTCTGACACAATGGCCGTTGAGAAAGCTCCGTTAATTATTATTTATAGTGATACACTGAGGGTGTGTCCTCCTTACCATCCTTACCATCAAGGTTACTGTTTGATCTGCAGATGTAACAGAAGTTGTGATACGAGCAGAGAGACCAAATATAAATTTGAAAATATTCCATAAAATAAATGCTTTTAATATATAATATTTTCTCTCTAAAAATGTTAGATAATAAATAGATTTATTTAATGTGTCTGGCAGTGTTCTGCAATTTTTTCACCTGCCTTTTTGTCTTTCCTGGCACTTTAGTCGCAAATTATCAGACAATGTTTCGGACCAAGTTAACCACCATCGACATTAAGATAAATCTTAATTGTGATTTGTTTTTTTTCTAGATTTTGGAATGTGAGTTCTACTTGCTGGAGTTAATGGTGAGTACAACAGTTTTTTAACCTGACGGTGGTTGTGTGCTAGGCATTACTGATAGGGTTTATGTTTCAGGACTGCTGCCTGATTGTGTACCACCCTTACAGACCACTCCTGCAGTATGTGCAGGATATGGGTCAGGAGGACATGCTACTTCCCTTGGCCTGGTATGATACTGTCTGTAGTGGTCATTTGTAAGATTGTTTTTCATAGTATTAGGGTTTCTCACCATTTTTGTATCTCAGAAAGGCTTTTTATTTCATCATAAAATGGACAGGGTGTCCAAGCAGCAAGGCAAAATCAATATTATGATGTTTGTGTAAACATGTCTGGTTGTCCTCAAAAAATACAATTCTTCATCAGACTGAATCACTAGATGTTCTAAGCTTATTTCCATGTAACAAGACACGAAGTGCGCTCCTAACATCTAGTCTCTATTTAGTCTCTATGAAAATAAAGTATTTTTTCGCATCGTTCATTGTGACCTCATGTGTCTTTACCAGGCGAATAGTGAATGACACATACAGAACAGACCTCTGTCTGCTCTATCCTCCCTTCATGATTGCCCTGGGTAAGATCTGGATCACTGCATTTTTCAGAGCTGCTAAATAATGTTACGAATATAAAATTAAACATTTCTATTTATAACATGAGTGGTTCTGTTTTTTTCTCCCCAAAGCCTGTTTGCATGTTGCCTGCGTGGTCCAGCAGAAAGATGCCAGGCAGTGGTTTGCTGAGCTCTCTGTGGACATGGACAAAGTAAGACCGACGGTCTTTAGTTTTTTTTAACCACTGCTAACAGTGCAGTGCTAACTGTATCTAAGCTCCTGGCTGTGTTTATGCGCTCACACACCACTGATTGACATTTGACTAATTTAACATTGGATTTCCCATGTTTCCTTTCAAGATCCTGGAGATCATACGTGTGATTCTAAAACTGTACGACCAGTGGAAGAACTTTGACGACAGAAAAGAAATAGCTGCTGTGCTCAACAAGATGCCTAAACCCAAACCACCTCCCAACAGGTTGGTCTGAGTCTGTCTGAGGATGTGTTTACACTTTTAATATTTTTTAAGGAGTCACTTTTAAGTGCTGCAGACATTTTTGTTATTCCTTAAAAAAGTTATTTTTTCCATGTAAGCATTTAAATGAAGATAAGACACAAATTACAGCAAACATGCAAACTTAATTTAACTTGACACAAAACAGTACCCTTAAAATAGTCATAGAACAATTGAATCCAGGTTATTTAGAACAATTGTACTCAAAATTGTTTCTTTTCTTTTTTTTGGTAGAAACACTTTAGTTTGCTTGCTATATGCAAAGCATCACACTTTGATTGTCCAAGTGTTCATGGAAGGTTGAACCAACAGCACCCTCTGCTAGATTATATTATATGTAACGCTTATGCCAACATGGGTTGACTCAACTTTAAGCTATGTGACGCTTATGCCAACATGGGTTGACTCAACAATTTAAATCAGTAGTAGGAAATATTTATAGTTTTGTTTCAAACTTCGAATTGTTTTATTGAGTTTTACACATACCTCAACGTCTTTCTGCCATTTGTCTAGTGAGAGTGACCAGAGCTCCAATGGGAACCAAAGCAACTCTTACAGCCAGTCTTAAGGGAACTTCTGCATTCCATTCCATGGCAACCAGTAATATTGATGGATTTTTTATTCTCATGGCACAAACTTTGCAACAATGGCCACCAGAGATGTCTTCTTATCTGTGACCAACATCACACACTGACACAGAGACTCGTCTTCACTTTCCACCTCACTGATCGATGCTAGTTCATGGATTGGACAAAACAGCTGATGGAAAAACAAGCAGTGCACAGCCAATCTGCAACAGCGGCACTCTCTCCTGCTGTAGACTAGTAATCGACTCAGGCCTCAGCCTAGATGTAAGGGTGAAGAGATGTTAAAAACTCTGTGGAGTAGAAACAAGTCATTGTGACGATCCTGATACCCTTGAACTTCCCAGAAGAGTAAGACAGTAAATATAGAGCTCCCTGGGATTTAAAGAAGAAAATAAAAAAAAAAGCCTTGATCACAAGTACTGTGTATGCACATGTGTGTGTGTTTGTGTGTACAGTCTGTATGGATTTGTTTTCCTCAGGGACTATGGTACAGTAGTCTTCTCTGTAAAAAACAAAACAAAAAGAAAAATCAGATCCTGTGCTGGATTGGATATCACCCAGTGCAACTGTGCTGTGGTTGGACACCCCTGCTCTGTTTTGGTTAATGATGAAATCTTGTGAGGGGAAAGTCCCACAAGAGGCTCCTCTCGTAAATAAGAAAGAATTTTTCTTTTTTCAGTTTTAATTATTACAACTTTTTTCTCTCGATTTTGTAAATACTCCCGTTATTCATGTATAATCTGTGTTTTCGTTTCTATTAAAGAAAATTTAAATCTTTTGTTTTAGTTTCCTATTAATAATTACTTTTTAGCGGCCGAATGAAGTGTTCGATTCTTTTATTGTGAATATTTTGAGAGTATGTGCTACCTACATACATTATGGCGTGATTACATTTGTAAAACATAGTTAATGTTTATATATAGTGTGAGCTTCTTAAGACTGACTGTAGTGTGCAGTGATCGTGTGTACCTACTCATTGACAAATTGCCTTTTTGGGGAAACCTATGGTTCTTTGGATTCTTTTTCTTGGCATTGTTCAGTTCGAGCTGAACACAACTTTGGTATTGAATTTATTGATGGATTTTACTCTTTGGTGGATGTGATGTATTTGTTAGAAAGTTCAGAGTTCAGTTTCATCTGCCATTTCACATTACTCTCCAAACAAATATCCCATGAATCTGTCAAACTCAGCCTTTGACAGTGGCTTGGTAAGAACATCAGCTACCGTGTCTGCAGTGGGGCAGTACTCTATGGATATTTTCCCCTCTGCTTATACAGACTGTACAAAGTGATACTTTTTGTAGGTGAAATGAGGCTAATCAGAGAAATCATCATTAAGATGCAGAAGCGTATCAACAACACAGTGACGTGGCTTCCTCTCTGCTGTGCTTCAAAGACTTTGCCATGTGTTGATGATGACCGCCAACAAATGGGTAATTGCAGGAGTTCGATTTATATATATTTTGTGGTCATTAATACAAATAAAACACTTGTGTAACAACCAACCGCATTACCAGACAAGATTTCATCATAAACAACGATATTTAAACGAAGTGCGTTCTAATTTTTCATCCACAGTACACACAAAAAGCAGGGGAGAGAAATTAAATCTTTGATTTAAATGAAACCAGATTTTGCCAAGTATTATTGACTTTTTCCAGAGAAAATAATGTTAACGCACACTTTTTTATTAAAAAGGGATTTTAAGTAAAATGACTGCCAGGTTGATACAGGGTTTCTTTGATTTATTTGCTGTATAACTATTTAAAATCGTTTATTTTAGTCTAGCTTCCAACTTAAAATTAGTTGTGATGATTAAATACATATTTCTGTTCCTACTTATAGCTTTATCCTGATATATTTCTGCTTTTTTGCAATACCATTCACTTATTTTTATTTGGTTTATTTAAAAAAATACTTTTTAAAACTGTTTTACTTAGTTATTTTTAACTTAAGTTTTTTTATTTAGGTAAAAAGTAGTAAAAAGTAAGCTGAAACTAAGTTAAAGACCAAGTTGTTGAAATACCCCAGAATACTTCCACAATGAACAGAATAACAATAACTTTTTACTTTTCACATTTAGAAAACATGCATTTATGTATAAAGTCCATAGATACACTTTTAAAAACAACGTCAAACGTCGTCATTATTTTAATTTTTATTTGGTTTGGTTTTTGGTTTTCTACTATCGAAAGTATCTATTTTATTCATGTTCCACGAGGGCAGTTTAGTAGGAACCCATTTTATGATGAAATCTTGTCTGATAATGCGGTCGGTTGTTCGGTTTAGCTCCGCCAACAACAAGGTCTCTTGTTGCCCTCTTGTGGCTCAAATGTACAACTTCACTCATCGATGTTTTGGCGACTTATTCATGAGTGAAGTTTCACGTTTGAGCCACAGGAGGGCGAATAGTGCAGACAACCTAACACTCTTTTAATAGCAAAAGACTTTACTACTGTAATAAGAACCGTACAACGTATTCCTATTTCCGTTATACCATATACAACAATATCAACGCGCCTCTACAGTTGACCGCTGACATTCACATTCACGTTTCTTTTTTTTTTTGTTTAGTCTCTTTGACTTTTTTATTTGATAGAAAGAGCGTACTCCAACGGCTGTAACAGAAAAGCTCAGGGGTAAAAATCTACAAATATAAATACAATAAAATATTATAATAAAATAATTTCAAATAGTTTTTTAGTTAATAGTTATTTCAGCTATTTATTTCTATATCGACAGCAGCACATGCTATTTTTAATCTTCAGCGTTTTACCACAATATTAATTCAAAGTTACTACTTCCACCAACAGTCTACTTTAAAGGAAAACCTAATATACTTGACACGAACGTTAAGAAATATAATCACTTTGGTCATCATCATTAGGCAACTGTAAAACGTGAGTGAACTTTTATTTTGAAATGGTGTATCGGAAGTTGCCTTATTACCATCTTTTCCCTTGACGGAGAAAAGTGAGGGCACAACTGGTGGAGCTCCGAGTGGGCTGCGGATGATGTCGACCCCTCTGCGGGGACATCAGCACCCGGGCGAGATGTTTACAATGTCGGGACCACAGTTTCGACCCCCGCCGCCCTATTACTGCAGCCTTCGGCTCCAATGAAGCGTCCGCCGATGAAGCCTCGAGCAGCCAGAGTGAGGCGGAAAGAAGCCGGAGACCGAGATCATGTACTGGCGGGTCGGCTTCGCCTGGACGCGGTCGTCTGTGGTTGATTTGGGGCAAAACGCGAGCTTCTCTTCCGGGGTGCTGGGCTTCGATGGGCAGCTCTCGTTTTATGGGTATATTATTGCCTACCCACTGCAGGACTACGGTGGGACAATGTCAGCTCTGGGCTCGGACTCGTGGTGGCGGAAGACGCTGTATTTGACCGGAGGAGCTCTGCTCGCTGCTGCTGCTTATTTGCTGCACGAATTGTTGGCCATCAGGTACCAAGCGCCCACACACACACACAGAGTCACTCCATCACTCTCAGGCCTCTTTGGGTCAAAACGTTATTCCTCGCTTTCAGTCTGAATCTTTCATGTCTGCTGTATTTTCAATGGGGTTGAAAATGGGGTTGTTATTAGTTCACCTCCACAGGCTGGGAGGGAGAAGATGAGGAGTCGTGAGTGGGTGACTTGTGATGTAACAACACCCCACCATCACCCTCCTCCCCCCTTCACTCGTTACATACACTACCATCAGAGAATTTCCATCTTTACAGCCCATTAATAGAATAAAAAGAACATGACTTTAATTTAGGTAAGGGTCATCCACCAGAGAGACACAATTAGGATCATTCAATTATGATTACGTTATGATTACGTATGTCTACTCTGTTTTATGTGTTTGCGAGCCCAGACAGGCCCTGACACACACATCGGCATGTTCTGATATAATATTCACCGGCAGCAGGTCACTTTCATGCGGCTGTAATACAAGGACGAAATTGTGTTATATTGCGTGTTATTTTACAGACTGGTAAACAGCCCTCGTAAAGAACGTGAATAAAAAACTGTGCGTTTATTCGGCACTATTGATTAGCTGTTAATAGGGCTGAGGGTTTCGTGTCTTGTCCTGTTTATGGTCTCGGGTTTCCTGCAGACCAAGAACCACAGTTGCACAATAACAAGGACACAGGGAGGGACGCAGAGGCCACACTACAGTGTCTCGTTTAAAGAAAAGACTACAGCCGATGTATGAGCACAGAGAGGTTAATGTTGTTTCGGGTTGGAAATCATTTATTTGGCTGTAATTAGAACATAAACGTATATTTTCTAGTATTAATTATACTATATAGCCATCTGCCGATCAAACATCATACATCAACGGATTCTATGCGTTGTCCTTTCGGGAACAATGTTTTTAATTAGTCGTTACAGCACCTCGGACAGCTCCTGTGCTGCTGTTATTACTGCTGTCTCTGCAACTGGAACCGATTTTACACGACACACGTGAACGCCGCACAACCTTTCTGTGGAATCTGCCTTCCTATTTTGATACTGCAGTTTTTCCCCTAGGCCTGTATCAATGGCCGAGGGCTGGCACTCACCCAGGGCCAGTTAAAGGGCCACGACTGCAGATTCCTCAGTTGTGTCAATACATCAAATCACAGATATTGTTGACCTTCACATAAATGTTTGTAAATAGAGGCAAAAAAATGTTGTTTTTTGTTTGGGCATAGCATAATCATTTAAAATGAATAATTACATAGATTTGGAGGTAATTTAGCTGTTTCTTGCACTGCACTATTTTGTAATCGTGAAAAAAATGATAAAAAATATTTTTTTCAATAAACCTTAATAAATAATACAAATATCTGAAGACTTTATCGAACTTCTCGATGTATCCTTTTCCTTCAACTGTATCTGACATACATCTGTGATGTTGTTTTACTCTAGAAAGGAGCAAGAGCTGGACTCTAAAGATGCCATCATACTCCACCAGTTCTCCAGGCCCAAAACTGGTGTTCCATCCCTTTCCCCTTTCTGCCTTAAGATGGAGACCTACCTCCGCATGGTTGATCTGCCCTACCAGGTAAAACTGTGACAATACCAGTATCATTATTCAGCCAGTG